TTGATTACTTAACTTTTTTTACTACAAGAATGGCGAGAAGATTACACTACGATCGTAAACCAAGCAAGCTATCAGTAAACCGTTTTGTATGCACTGTATTTCAGAGAAAACTTAGTGATTATTTCAATTATGTAAATATTGTTAGAAATAGATCACTGTAAACTTTATTTTTAGTACTGATTGAGATTTTTACAGAAAAAGCGATTACTTTTATAGATAAAGAGGCTGAAGAAAATTGCTCCTTCTAAGGACGCCATGTTTAGATTGCACAACGTGATACTACTGGAACAAGTACAAAAGTCTCTGCTTGTATACAAACTATGTGTTTCTATATAACACAGAGACTAATGCTCTTTCAGTTGCTGTGTGTACTGACGCAGACAAAAGTATTGTCACCTCACACTCAGTATAAGATAATTCCTGAAAGCGTGAGAAATACAAGCAATTATTGAACGTTAGCCAATATTTACTAAAGCAAAGACCAAAATACACAATTTCTGGTAGTTCAACAAACAATTTTTGTAAAAAAAAAAAAAAGGATTTCAGTATTTTCAAATATTTCTTTGTTGTTAAGCGCAAAGCTACACAGTGAACTATTTGTGTTGTGCTCACCATGGGCATTGATACCTCGTTTTTAGCGTTAAAAACCTTCAGACTTACCGATGAGCTACAGGAGGCCTAATATTTGTTCATAACTAAAGTATTGGCATCTTTAATTAAAAGTCTTTGAAAGCTCAATATAACTAATTTTAAAATATATTAATTATTGAAAACAATTACAGATAATTAAGCTGCTTTATAAAGTCAATAGCCAGAAAGAAAAAAGAAAATGATTGCCAACATCTGTTGAAGGAGAACTTTTTGATGATAAAGCAGATGATTGTTAAGTCAAAGGAGTGAGATTCACGCTTGAGAAAACCACTTGTAGCAGATTGAAATAAAGAAAATTGCTTCTGTGAAGTATCAAAGAAATGTGAAGCACCAAAATCCGCAATCAGACCAATAATCAAGAAGTACCACAGAACAAATTCAACTGAAACGCTTGAAATAATTAGACACCCAAATAAAATTACAAGTACAACGGGTAACTGACAGCTAAGGTCTTAAATAAAGATTTATGTGGTTTATACATTTTATACTTTTTATTTAACAGAGTCTTGGCTATGCAAGAATGCACTTACTACAACAGAGATCGACAGTTAAACACTCGTTTACACTAACTTCTATCTTTAAATGTCAACAGATTAATTTAATGACTTTCTTAAGATGCCTTGGATCTGTTAGATGTCTAAAATCTGATGTAACAACTTTCTTCAGATGTCTAAAGACTCGTGTGAAACTTCAGATCTCTTACATTGTTAGATGTCTAAAGACTCGTGCAAAACTTCAAATCTGTTAGATGTCTAAAATCTGATGTAACAACTTTCTTCAGATGTCTAAAGACTCATGTAAAACTTCAGATCTCTTACATTGTTAGATGTCTAAAGACTCGTGCAAAACTTCAAATCTGTTAGATGTCTAAAATCTGATGTAACAACTTTCTTCAGATGTCTAAAGATTCATGTAAAACTTCAGATCTCTTAGATTGTTAGATGTCTAAAGACTCGTGCAAAACTTCAAATCTGTTAGATGTTTAATAACTGATGTAACGACTTTTTTCAGATGACCTGGATATGTTAGATGTTAAAAAGATTTGTTGTTACGACTTTCTGTAGATGTCTTAGATCTTTTTGATATTTAACGAAACTTGTCAAAGCTCCTTATTCACCCAAAGTCGTTCTATATGAATGTAGGTGTTTGACTAGTAAATAACATCAACTTGTGCAATTAATTTATGCATATTGTTCAGCAGACATAGTGTTTTGCTTGTTCTCCTCTGTGGTTAGTTTTATTTTCTCAGATAAACAAAAACTATTTGTTGGTGCTAAGTAAAACTAAAAACTGAATTTGACGTGGAGCGTGATATTTTTCCTTGCGATTCGAAAAGAGGCGTGATCTAATTAGGGCATCTCCTTTTAGCTCTTTCTGTCTTGTAGACTCATATAATTACAGTACGTATAAAAATTTGTCGTCGACAGACAAGGCTATCATTTTCCTTGTGTTTTTCTCATGCAATGTATGCATGAAAGACTTCCGACATCTAAGAAAAACAAAGGCGTTCCGTCCTAAATAAACATAAATATCTTTTCCTCATGTCCCTCCAATCTTACGAGTTGCATGCACATGGTAACTTCTGTTAATGTTTGTTATCAAGCTAAGAATAGAAAACATATTGACTATGGACTTTCACTAAAGCATTGCCAAATGTTAAATACCATAAAACAGAAATAGACATTCTTTCTTCATTTCTTCGTAAGCCAAACAGATGTTTTATTTACTTTATTTTCGAGTTTCAAATTTATAGAGCAATATGTCTTTTCACTCTCAGAAAAAAAAAATGTTTTCGTTAAGTTTTGGAAGAACGTGTAGTTTTCACAGGAGATAGTTTTGCGATTAAATTTAGCGACAACACTATTCTCTATACCATCATTTATACATAACAACACTATTCCCCACATCAGTACCAGCCGTGGGGGCGTTATAATGTGACGGTCAATCCCACTATTCGTTAGTAAAAGAGTAGCCCAAGAGTTGGCGGTGGGTGGTGATGACTAGCTGCCTTCCCTCTAGTCTTACAATGCTAAATTAGGGACGGCTAGCGCAGATAGCCCTCGTGTAGCTTTGCGCGAAATTCAAAACAAACAAACAAACAATCTCTGATATAGGATTGCTGAACAGACAAATGAAGGGAAACCAGTCAGGATCACCCATGGCCTATTCTGAGGCTACTCTTAGCCAAATAGCGGGTTTGACTATCACAGCTATATCGTCTTATCAACTGGAGCATGTTCAAGACGTATCGTGACTCGAACCGTAAACCTTCCTATCCGCACCCAGCCCCCAGCAAGTTTGAGGAAGGTCGAAGATCTATTTCAATATTCCAATCATGGGCGTCCGCAAGGGGACAATTGCCTCCCTGAATGATCGATTTTGCGTTTCCCGAATTATATCTTTGATATAATTTTCTTCACTTTGCCCTCTGTGTAATATATCCTCCGGACACCCATGATTCCAACAGAGTGTTCAATGCTACCCAGTTACACTGGTGAGCTTCTGTAACACGTTCAGCAATGCTACCCAGTTACACTGGTGAGCTTCTGTAGCACGTTCAGCAATGCTACCCAGTTACACTGGTGAGCTTCTGTAACACATTCAGCAATGCTACCCAGTTACACTGGTGAGCTTCTGTAGCACGTTCAGCAATGCTACCCAGTTACACTGCATCGCTTTCTCTTCGGTCGCTTCCATTTTGCCATCTCAACGGATATTTCTGAAAAAAAAAATCTCATGCATGGGCTATGCAAAATTCTGTCAGGATGTCTATTATTCTGTCTCGGTGTTTGAATAATCAATAATCCAGTACTTGAGTAATGTAGTTACGGGAATTAAGTTCGAACAGGGGTGAAGAGTTATGTAAATCTGTGCATGAACGACTTTTGCATGTGGAAGAAACTGGTAGTTAGACGTGTAGAATTAGTGGCAAAAAAACTGGTAGTTAGACGTGTAGAAATAGTGACAAGAAACTGGTAGTTAAATGAGTAGAAATGGTAGCAATAAACTGGTAGTTAGATGTGTAGAAATGGTGGCAAAAAACTGGTAGTTAGACGTGTAGAACTGGTGGCAAGAAACTGGTATTTAGACGTGTAGAAATGGTGGTAAGAAACTGATAGTTAGATGTGTAGAAATGGTGGCAAGAAACTGGTAGTTAGACGTGTAGAAATGGTGGCAAGAAACTGGTAGTTAGACGTGTAGAAATGGTGGTAAGAAACTGGTAGTAAAATATGCAGAAATGGTGGCAAGAAGCTGGTAGTTAGACGTGTAGAAATGGTGGCAAGAAACTGGTAGTTAAATGTGTAGAAATGGTGGTAAGAAACTGGTAGTTAGATGTGTAGAAATGGTGGTAAGAAACTGTTAGTTAGATGTGTAGAAATGGTGGCAAGAAACTGGTAGTTAGACGTGTAGAAATGGTGGAAAGAAACTGGTAGTAAAATATGCAGAAATGGTGGCAAGAAGCTGGTAGTTAGACATGTAGAAATGGTGGCAAGAAACTGGTAGTTAAATGTGTAGAAATGGTAGCAAGAAACTGGTATTTAGATGTGTAGAAATGGTGTCAAGAAACTGGTATATAGACGTGTAGAAATGGTGGAAAGAAACTGGTAGTAAAATATGCAGAAATGGTGGCAAGAAGCTGGTAGTTAGACATGTAGAAATGGTGGCAAGAAACTGGTAGTTA